GAGGGAAATGGGAGGCGGGGAGGAGGCGGAAATCTTTTTTTTTCAATAAAAAAATTATATTAAAAAAAGGGGGGGCAGACCTTCCTTGGGCATCAACAAAGCAAGGCAGTCCTTATCACACTGTTAGGAGCCTCACAAACAGATCAAGCAACATGACTGTCACCTGCATGCAGAGGGCCTAAGCTGGTGCCATTCAGGCTCTCTGACTACCAGTCCAGATTCCATGAACTCCTATGAACTCAGGTCAGCTGTCTCTACCTCTCATATGTATTATTTGCCACTTCCACTGCTATTCTAAAATATTCTTTCTTTCAAAACTATATGATTTTCTTCTAGAACATACAATAAGACAACAACTAACCGAATTTTGTGTTGCATACACAAGGGGGACTCTCCCAAGGCAATCTGGAAGGGAACTGTTACTTCTCACAAGGTTCATAGCAGAATAACATCACATTCCTCTTTTACTTTGGTGCTGAAATAATTCAACATGCAGAACGGTAGCTGATGGGAGTCATGTGACTTTTTTGGGAAACAATGTCTAAGAATAGCTTTAACAGCTCTCTTTGTGGCAAGTCTACTTGGCAAGGATTTGTGGACAGTTCCCTGCATAATTCTGGACAAGACCCTAAGAGCACGTGTGTTATGTGCTTTCCTTGTTTTTACTATGCTGGCTACACTGCTGACCTGATGGGTGACTGTATCATGAAGTTTAAAGATACATATTTGTATAACTGTTCTGGGAAGAATGATTTTGACCACAAGAATCTTAAAGAAATACTGTTACATACATAATACCAAGAGTTAATGGAAACATTCAAGGAACAGAACAAGCAAAATCACAGAAACCCACTGTTCTATCATTTAATAACTATGCCAATACCCCTAAGAAGTTAAGGAAGATAAACATAAGGCCAGGGGATAAGCAATGGCAACAAAAGAATAAGTTTCCAGGTTACGTTGCTTATAGAACAAAATGGAAAAGCCTGGCATTCCCCAAGAAGGAGTAGAACAGTAAAAAATATAGAATGGATTGATCCAATTCTGGTTGGTAAGTTGATTGTGAGAACCCAGATCATACTGGATGGCACAGATGTAAATATTAAGCACAAGAGAGAAAATTGTCCTTCACCCTGCATGATACTGTGACCATATGTGCTGACAAACAGGAAAACTGTTCTACATGAATGTGTGCCTAGTTAGAAAGTTCCTATTTAGCTTTTAAAACTGCTCATGTTTCTGATAATAGAAATATAGATCCAAAAGATAGCATCTACCTATAGGAGAGTTAGGAGACAGAAAGGGAAAGAGGCAAGGGACAACCCGGTAATCATTGTAATAATATTTAGAGACTTAGAAAGTAAAAATTGGTTGTAAAACTGTTCATGCGAGCTATTGAAACTGCATAAATAAAGACTGTTTGAGCTATCTGGGGCCACTTCATTAAACAGCAACAGGTGGTCACAATTTCTTTGTGGCAATGATTCCACACTTCTGTCCCAGGTCCATGAATCCATCTGGAGCAAAGTCTCCAAAGTCTGCAGTAATAAGCTACCTGGCAGGCAAGGGGAGATCTCCCTATGAGGCAAAGAGGCCCCAGAAAATGTGTACCCCACTACTCACACTTTCATGTTAATGGGCTTGCCTTTCTCTGCTTCCTGGCTCATGTTTTTCACCAGCACATCTCCACACTTCTGGATGATGGGGAACATCTAAGCACAATACACAAAACATTCTGTTGTTAAAATGTGAGGTTCTGAGTCCCAAAATAACAAGACATCTGCAATTATGAGAAGATAATCATGTTTTAAGTGTATTAAATCTCAATAGAGCAAAGACCATTCTTAGAACATAATGCTCAAAAGGACATCCCTTCGAAGCGATACTGGTTTTAGTTGTTCTCAGATATACTCTTCTACATGTATCATACAAGTCCTTCATTTTCTTACCTCTTTCAGTTTTCCACTGGTAAAGGCTGGACTTAGTAATGTTCGAACTCTCTTCCAATTTTCATTCTCACAAGCAGCGACACCCTTTTTCAATAACCCATTTGGACCAGAAGTCTACAATATCAAGAAAAATGGATTTTGCCCTTCACGAGATTGGTTATCTTAACAGTTGTAAAACATGGATAAAAGAAAGAACACTCCCTTAATGTAGTTTCTGACCCTCTTCTAGGTGTTTAGTTCTATTCTAGAATCTCAACAAGTTTTAATTAAAATGCTTTAAACTGGGACTGGAATGATGTCTTATTGGTTAAGTGTACTTGCTCTTCTTGTAGAGGACCCTGTTTCAATTATCAGCACCTATATTCGGTGGTGCACAACTAACACCATTTGCAGGTATCTGATACCTACTTCTTGTTTTTATGATCACTCGTACACATTCAATGCACATACGTACACTCAGATACACACATGAAAAATAAATTAAAATATGTAAAATGCCTCAAACTAAAATAAGGATAATATAACCACATTGTGTGGTGTAAAGTGGTTATATTACAATATTATTTCAGCTCAATTTCTTCTGCTGAAAAACTGCCTGTATAGGTGAATAAGCAGGTAGAAAATCTAAAACAGTCTCCAACGCAGTACAGAAAATACTGGATAGTTTTCTTAGTTTAGATCTCTATTGTTGTGATAAAGACTATAACCAAACCACTTTGGGGAGTAGAGGGTCTATTTTAGCTTCCAATTCTCAAGTCACACTCCAGTAGTAAGAGAAGTCAGGGCAGGGACTGAGAGTCAGAACCTAAGGGCAGGTCCTGAAGCACAAGCCATGGAGGAATGCCACTTACTGGTTTCCTCCTCATGAATCACTTAGCCTGCTTTCATACACAACCTAAGATTAACTGCCCAGGAGTGGCATCCATCACAGCAAGTGGGGCCCTCAGTAACTAAGAAAATGCCACATATTCTGTCTACAGGTGACCTGGGGCAAGCATTTTCTCAGTTGGGGTTCTAAATAAGACTATGTTTGTGCCATGTTGTCAAATAGCAACTAGCACAATAGGGTCCACATAAGAGGCTATAATGGCAAACTTAATTCAGACCAGTTTTGTACTTGCAACTATCAGCAGCATTAGCTTTTTTTTTAAAAATAAAGACATGATGTAATAATTCTTAAAATTTTCAGAAATACTGAAAGGACCATGTTTTGCTTTTGTAAGTATTACTTGAATGTAATGGAAATATTTTTTCATGTTTGGTTATACAGGAATATAAGCAGAAGAGAAATATAATTATATTTTCCAAATGGAGATTTCATTCCATCATATGCATATGTATTTGATTCTAACTTGAAATTTTCCAGTATTTCTTCATTATAAAAATATATGTTATTAGTTATAGAACTTCTTCCACATGGCAAAAACATCATTAAACAAAGCCTTTGTGGAGAAACACTGAAGGTTTTCCTTTACGAAAACATTTTAAAATACCAATCCTCACCCTTTATTCCAACTCAGTCTGACAGTTAGTTCAATGAGAGAAAAATAATAAATTAAAATGCATGCAGATTTCATTGGAAAGAAAAGTATTTCTATATTTAACTGTTGTCATTAACTACATGGAACACCTAACAATTATACACAAAAAATTAAGAATATGTTAAGTGACAGAATATCTCTAACCACTCCTACCTAAGGCCCAGGGAACATTTTAGAAGGAGTTGAAAGACTTCAAGAACTAGAGCAGTATTGCCAGACTGGCCTCTGAACATGACAGGACTATAGCACACATGAACTCTTAGTTGCTATGGTTACCCCAAGACACAAAGAAGATTAGTAAAATTAAAAAGAAACAACATTGAGGGGAAAGTGGATCTTGATACCACCTCCCCATCTAATGAACTAATGATAGTGTTTTGCTTGTATGTATGTATACATGTATGTATGTATACATGTATGTATGTTATGGAATATTATTTTCACTAGGTATAAACATTTGTTTATGCTGCAGAATATTACTTTAACTTTGTAGAGGTGTGTTACTTTTTTGTTTGCATTTGTTTAACAATGTAAGGATGTATGTTTAATTATATAAAAATGTGTTGCAACTGTTTCACCTTGCCTGCCCAAGGCACCTGATTGGTCTAATAAAGAGCTGAGTGGCCAACAGCTAGGCTGAAAGGATGGGTGTGGATGGTAGGCAGAGCGAATAATTAGGAGAAATGTAGGCTCAAGACAGAGAAGAATGAATGAGATAAGGAGGAAGTAAGAATGAGGGAGGATCCCAGGTCCATAAGCCAGGCAGTCATCAGCCATCCAGATATAGAGACACTGAGAAAGGAAGAAGGTAAAAGGAAGCAAAAGTGTAGATAAAGGGAAGTGGACTAAAATAAGACCTATGATAAAGCCAAGCATTCATAAATAATATTAAGACTTTCTGTCATGATTTGGGAGTTGGTTGGTGGCCTAAAATAAAAACCATATGTATGTATGTGTGTATGTATGTATATGTATCACATATGTGTAGTGTCTTTAGAGTGAGACAAGGGCATTGAATCCAATGGTATTGGAGCTACAGTTGGTTGTTTGGCACCACACTACTGCAGAATATTGGACCCTTGTTCTCTGTAATAGCAGTCAGCATTCTTAACTGCTGAGTCATCTTTATAATACATGTGGTATTATAAAACTGCTAACAAACTGTCTTTGGCACTAGTGCAGAAACTACTGTTGTTCTTTCTGAGTAGACATTTATTTAAAACATTTTACGGTCTACAGGAATGTGTACAGACTTGGGGAATGCTGCCATCTGGGCATGTAAATGTCATTGCAATCTTGAAATCCCACCAAACATGGTAAATTACACAGGACCACCACAGGAAAGACCCATAAGGGTTCTGTCATAGAGAAAGAAAGAGTTCATAAGATCCTGTCCTACACTGAGGATTTATAGATATGTAGTGGTTACCTATGAAGGGAGAACCACGTTCTTCTGCATTGTAGATACTGGGAGGATGTCAATGTACAAATGTGCTCTTGTAACCAACCTATATTAAATTCATTGAGACACCATAATTTAAAAAAAAAACAGTAGAAGGAAGAATAATTAGAAAGAGGAAGGGAAAGAGCAAGAGTGGAAAAACAAGTGTAGGTAATTGGAGCTAAATATAAGCAAACTACATTAAATATGTATATATGATATGTATATATTAGCATATGTCCTTGAAATATGATTGAGCATCTTTTGGATATATGCCCCAGAGTGGTATTGCTGGATGCTGAGGTAGGTTGATTCCTAATTTTTTGAGAAACCACCATACTAATTTCAAAAGTGGTTGTGAAAGTTTGCATCTCCCCCAGCAATAGATGAGAGTTCCCCTTACTCCATATCCTCTCAAGAGTAAACTCTCATTGTTTCTTTTTTCTTAGCCATTCTAAATTCTGTGAGATGGTATCTCAGAATTGTTTTGATTTGCATTTCGCTGATGGTTAAGGATATTGAACATTTTCTTAAGTGTCTTTTGGCCATTTGAGATTCTTCTGTTGAGAATTCTGTACCCCCTTTTTAATTGGATTATTTGGAATTTTGACGTCTAATTTCTTGATATATATATGGAGGTCAGTTCTCTATTTAATGTGGAGTTGGTGAAGATCTTTTACTATTCAGTAGGCTGCCTTTTGCCTTATTGACTGTGTCTTTCCGTTTACAGAAGCATCTCAGTTTCAGGATGCCCCATTTATTTATTGTTGCTCTCACTCTCTCTGCTACTGGGGTTATATTTAGGAAGTTGTCTCATGTGGCCACACATCGAAGGCTACTTCTCACTTTACCTTCTATCAGGTTAAGTGTGGTCGGATTTATATTGAGGTCCATTTGGACTTGAGTTTTGTGCATGGTGATAGATATGGATCTATTTTCATTCTTCTACAGGTTGACATCCAGTTAAGCCAGGACCATTTATTGAAGATGCTTTAATTTTTCCATTGTATATTTTTAGCTTCTTTGTCAAAAATTAAGTGTCCATAGGTGTGTGAATTAATATCCAGGTCTTCAACTTCATTCCATTGGTTTACCTCTCTGCTTTAAGGTTTGAGAATTTCTTCTTTGGGAAGATTGAATAGCATGAAGACACACAACACTCCTTGTATATTGTTGGCAAATTACACCATATACCTAAGTACTTTATAGTAAAAGGTTTGCTTGTTTATGTGTTTGTTTTGTCAACTGGAAATTGAACCCTGGGCTAGGTGACTAATCTACCACTGAACAACACCTCCAACCTCTCATAATACAATTTTTAAATGAATGCTTACATTTTTACTGTTTACTTTTGAGATTATGATACAGTTACAAGATTTCTCCTTTGTTATTCCTCTTTCTAAACTCTTCCATATATTCTTTCCTGATCTCTTTCATAGTCAAGATTTTTAAAAAATAATTGTTGTTACAAACATATAAACATATGTATACACATAAATAATTTCAAATATAACCTCTTCAGTTTGTATATTGCTCACATTAAGAGAAGAGAAAAATATACCTGCCGATTTGTGAAGACAGAATAAAATTCCTTCACTAGCACTTTTCTGATCATGTCTGGCTCTGCAATGACCAGAAGAGGCTGCTTCCCATCATACAATCTGTATTAGGAAAAGAGATATGGTTAAACTTTGTTCCTGATGTTACCTCTGGTTCTACAAGAAAGGGCGACAACTACTGCTAGCTCAACCACAGAAGCCACTTGTTACTTCTGGAAATGAAGAATAACATAACCCAGGAAAAGATGAAATACAGACCACTATATGAGCACATTTGGGAATGAACTGTGCTGTCCTTTATAATTTAAGTTCAAAGACAGTTTTAAATTCCAGCCCAAACAGCACAAAAGTAATATGTTTTAAGTTAGTCAGGGAGGTCAGAGAAAAAGCAAGAAAGCACAAAACTCTGAAGGAAAGAGTGCTTGGAATGCCAAGATACAGATCAAGAGTTCAGATGACACTGGATCTTAGGCTTTTGTGTCCCAGGGACATGGACAGTTTTATATNTAGATCTATATAAATAATAGATACTACTAATTAAGAATATGATTGCACTGACAGCAATGAAGTATACTGGTAACCTGAGAAAAGAGCCATATTGGTATCTACCATGCAGTGTGCAGCCCTTGATAAGACCTTTCAAGTACAGCTTCTCAAATTTGTGTTTCCCTAGCTTTTATCTTATCTACACATGCTCTGATCCTCATATGGAGCCCAGGTAAGGAAGGGCCTCCAGATTGCCTCTGGAAACTGGGTTATTTCATATGTTACTATGCTTAACTTGATGTTTTACTCATTTCCTATTTCACCTTAGGATTTACCCCTAAGAGACATGGTCCCAAAAATAGTTGTGAAGGATCAGAGAGTTGATGGTGAAATCAATCTTCTGTAACTCTTTCCATGTCAATAAGGGCCATAATCCTCAACCAAAGGATCATGAGTCTTTTTCCCTAAAAATATAAAACTCTTATTTGGAAGAAAGTCCTTTGATTCCAAAAATTAGTCATTGCCTTAAATCCTATATCATATATGGTTTAGTTTGTTCAACATTTAAAATTATTAACTATCTATGCTTGGAATGGAGGCTGGTATTGGATTCCTTCCTAGTTTGTATAATAACATGGGCTTGTGAACTTCAGTATAAACATACAAAAATTAAAAAGATATATTGATGTCAGAATGACAATAAGTGTATTCAAATTTAAAGATAAGCTATTTTTTATTTCATATGTAAGTGTGAACATAACTATGATGAATGTGCAGAAGCTCTTGAATGTCTGAGGTTGTATCAGATTTCCTGGGTGTGAGTGACCATATGGGTGTTGGGACCCAACTGTGGATATTCTGTAAAAGCAACAATTGCTATTCACTGCTGAAACATCTCTCCAGCCCCTAAAGATAAACTATGAACAATTAACGAGCAATAATATTACAAGAAGTTCCTTTAGAGCTATAAGAGATGCAGCACAGCACAGTCTCGGCAATCGGTCACCTGGCCATGCCAACTCAGCAGACCCTGTGATTAGTACTGTGGTTTCTGTTGATGAATGAGAAGAGATGAAGGGACAGAACCTCCTCCACTATGTTTTTGACACACAGTACAGCGATGTCACTTTTCCCCAGGCTCTTACCAAAACCCCAGGAGTTTTGAGAGGGAAGATCTGCTGCTGTTGGCTCAATCATCACACAAAGCAATAAATAAAAATCCTAGAAGGCAACAGCATGGTTTAACTCATCCTATACCTGTTCTTCAAAGTGAGTAGTATGTGTTGAGAGACTATATCCCATACATTCCTGCTAAATAGTCATTGACTATTTTCAAATGTAAAAAAAAAAAAAAAGACAAAGAAAATTCATCAAGATGTGATGTCACAGACCCCTAGGATCAGTAGTCAGGGGGCAGATATTGAAGTCAGTGACATCCGGTCCAATGTGGGCTTCATAGACACTTCCACAACAACCTAAGACACATTTAGATCTGGCCTGAAAAAAGAGGGAGAAAACCAAGGAAGACCCAAACCTGAATAAAGAACTAGAGAAAACCAAGAAATGCTGAGAGTGAAAGAAATACTCTTCCCAGGGAAGACTACACCAATTGATTATTCACTTACACATGGTCAGTTCTGAAAACATACATATGAGTGTCATTTTACAAACTGAGCAGGTTATACTTAAAAATCTATCTATCTATCTATCTATCTATCTATCTATCTATCTATCTATCTATCTATCATCTATCTATATGCATGTATACACACAGATATATGCATTTACATATATTCAACATTTACATATGTCTATATATGTGCATGTAGTAGTAATTAATGAAAAGACAATGTGTCTGAAAGACAGCAATGAGGGGAATATGGAAGCATTTGAAGGGAAAAAAGGGAAGGGAGAAATGAAGCAGTATTATAGTCCCAAACAATAAAAGAAATAATAGATATAAAATAATTACAAAGTTTTGATATAGGAAATTAAACTAAAAGTAATCACAAATATGCCTGTTTTGGGGTAGCCTGTCTTTAAAAAGTATATATTTACTGTAAATACTTTTATAAAGTGATTTTGCTTTTCTTTAAGTATAAATCAGTTGGGAAAGAAGTGCTCTCCTGAATTATAAGGACACATTACATGTCATCTGAAATAATACATTCCACACAATTTAAAAGTTCTAAGGAAAAGTAAATGAAGGCAAGGACCATTACATATCACTGGATGGAAGTAATATTATGTGTCCCTGGATCATGAAAAGATTGCCTACAACTTTCTCAGTCTTTTAGACTGTGAGTTTTAACATACATACATATGGAAATACTGGCAGGACATGCTGTCACACACTTAAAAATAGGCAAATGTGATTATTACTGAATAGGACAAGTAATCACACATGCATTTCCAGGGTGGCCTGCTCTGGGTGCTGAGGAGAAAACATGGGGTTTCAAGGGGCCTTACAGTGTTGGGTGGTTGGGCACTATTTTGGTGAGCAAATGTAAGGTGTGTTATAGGAGAGAGGGAGAGAGAGAGAGAGAGAGAGAGAGAGAGAGAGAGAGAGAGAGAGAGAGAGATCCTGTGAAGAAAGGTAGATTGAAGAGGTGAAAACAGTGACAAGTGGACTGAGGTTAAGTGTCACCCAGGACCGTGGCGATATCTTGGCCTGGGCTGCTGCCAAGGCCCATGTCTGATACAACAATAGGCCTAGAAGTGTGGGAGCCCGCGAGGGTCCAACATAAATTCCTTAACCTGACTGGAACGGAGTCGTGAGGAATAAAATTGACACAGCTTACACCCTCATCATGGAAAAAGCCAGAATCACCGTTTATTGTCCAAACATCTTATATACCCACACCAAATTGAGCAGGGGGGGGCACATTAAGCCATCACCTAGGCAACCAGGTGCCTGGGCTCAAGTCTCATCCGCATCTGGCAGTCAGGTAGGTCCTGAATTAGCATCTCTATAAGACATCCTCCAAATTACAAAAGGAAGGAAGACATCAGCTTTAGTCAAACATCTCTTCTCAGGTAATCCACATTTTTTTTTTTTCGAGACAGGGTTTCTCTGTGGCTTTGGAGCCTGTCCTGGAACTAGCTCTGTAGACCAGGCTGGTCTCGATCTCACAGAGATCCGCCTGCCTCTGCCTCCCGAGTGCTGGAATTAAAGGCGTGCGCCACCATTTTAACAAAAGAAGCTAGGAGCAGGCATCCTGGCTTTTGTTAAGGGCAGAGACAGCTTGTCTGCAGAGCTACATGATCCGCTCAAACCGGGCTAATGGCTTTTGTGCCATATCGAAATATGGGCTCACACAGAAGATAGGATTACACAGAGTTGGAACAGCCCCTCCTTAGCTGCAATGCTAGGGAGAACTGTCCCTGTCCATTATCAACTGTAGCACTGAGAAGAGGCTAATATACCTTGCTTGGACTGCAAAGTAAAGCTAACTGATGATGGGTGAGCTGGCCCTGCAAACATGAGAGTGGGAAAGAGGATCCCATCCTCTCTTGTTGGCCATGTGGTAGCATAAGTGAAAGAAAGATGCCCCACCTCATCCCCTCACCACCTGCAGTAGGAAAAGGATATGACCTAACCCCTTGCCAACTGCATCACTCCTAAGAACAGGTTCTTTGCCTCACTTGGGCAAAACAGTATAGCTGATACTGTACACAGGGTGCAGGTGAGTCACCCAGAACAGTGAGCGTGGGAGGTCTGGCCCTGCTCATCATCTGCCACTTGGCTTGTACGAGGGAAAGGTGCTCCTCGCTAAGACATCTGTTGCAGGTTGGGAGAACTGGCACTGAGGTCATTAGAGTGGAAGAGTTGTCTCTGTCCCTCACCAGCTGCAGGACTCAGGAGAGTAGTAGCCCCCCACACCACACCTGGTCAACAGAATGCAGGTGAGCTGGCCCTGGTGGTGTTTATGTAGGTGAGCTGGCCCTGAAGGCATGAAAGCAGGAAACGGGTCCTGCATCATACTCACAGCTGCACAGAGTGAACTATCAATGGCAGTGCTGAAGAGCTCACCCTTGTGACTCTGACCAACCCTGCAATAACAACACAGTCCCAAGCCGGGTGACGGTGGCGCACGCCTTTAATCCCAGCACTCGGGAGGCAGAGGCAGGTGGATCTCTGTGAGTTCGAGACCAACCTGGTCTACAAGAGCTAGTTCCAGGACAGGCTCCAAAGCCACAGAGAAACCCTGCCTTGAAAAACCAAAAAAAAAAAAAAAAAAGAAAAAAAAAGAAAAAAAACCCAACCAAACAAATAAACAAACAAAAACAAAAACAAAACACTGTCCCAGAAACAGCCAATGAGCTGGCCCAAACCAACTATGATCTTCTGGAGCATGTGATAGGATTGGGCCTGTAGATCCAAAACCTCAGGAATGACACAGGACAACTATAGGATATCGAGGAGGAGTCCCAGTGAGGGCCCACTATTGATAGTAGAACAAAAACTGGAGAAGTTGAACTAGAACAATGATTGTTTGCATTGAACAATTACAAGTAGAAGTGTATGGACTAAGAGGTGTACTGTGTGGCGCGATGTGTGTTGGGATCTAGCTGCCCTCACTCCCCCTGACTGACAGCGGAACTTCCTTGTAGTCTGTAATTGATAAGCATGTTTATGTTCTTTATGGCCAGTGGTTTTTCACAGAATTTTTCTTCATTCCTCTCTCTCTCTCGTTTTTCTTATTCATTTATTTACTTTTTTGTACTTTTTTCTTTTCTCTTATTTTTTTAACTTTAGGCAGGAGGTTACAAAGGCAGAGGTGGATACAAATGGACAGAGATGAATGGAATTGAGATGTTGAGATGCATCATGTGAAAGACACAAAGAATAAATTTAAAAATGAGGCAAACGTGTCCTAAGATACTCTGGACTTGACAAAATTGTCATGCAGTTTGGTGTCATATAATAACCAACCTACATATTGGCCATTTCCAGAATACTTACCCCCACAAATCCCCATACTTTTTTCGGCATTCTGTATCATATTTCCACAAACCCTGTGAAAAAAAAGGAAGGAAGAAAGAATGAATGAAAGAAAGAAAGACCGTTATTTTTCTACCTGAATTGGCCACTAAATTTTTTTTTTTTTTAAAAAAAAGACTCAAACCCCAGGACATCAGGCTCATTATTTAACTTCCATAATAAGAAGTTAATGGAAATCATTCAGGATTTGTTGATGTGGTAAAAGAAAATACAGGACGTGCTTGAAATGGGGATTTTAATGATAATCAGGTTTTCATTTCCAGGACAGCTTATGTTCCAAAAATTTTCTTTCTCTATTTGTTTGTTTGTTTGTTTTTGTTTTTGTTTTTTTTCAAGGCGGGGTTTCTTTGCCTGGCCCTGGATGCCCTGAAACTTGCTCTGTAGAACAGGCTGGCCTTGAACACCGAGATTTGTCTTCTTCTGATTCCTAAGTACTGGGATAAAAGGCAGGTGCCACAACCGAAGAAGGATGCTTAAAAGAAATCTCACACTAGCTCAGAATTGAGAAATAAATGGTTATTTATTTAGAGGTGGACTCACAAATCAGAATCCTCTGCCTAACCAGAGATCAGAAACCAAATCCCACAGCCAGAAAAAGAGCTCATATGTATGCTCTATATTGTCTTATATAATATAAGAGGCCATTCCCCAGTGAACGGGTAACCACTGGCTGTAAGACTTCCTACAGAACCTTCCCTCTTTGTTTAAATAAGAGAGTTGTAAGTCTAATACAAAATTATATATACTAAAAACAAATATATTCCATAATTATCCTATCCTAACTAGTATAATAACCTGAACAAGTCATAAGAGGAAAGTAACTACAACTATCTAGAATTCAACCTCATCGAACATCCAAGAAGGGAAATAATATTACTTGAGTAAGCAGGAAGTGCAATCAAACAACTTCCAAAGTGTGCAACAATGACAGAGACAACTGGCTACCTGGGCCCAAAGTCTCATTTGCAATGTTGAAGCAACCAATTTTGGCTAAGGCCTAGAGTAATTGACAGACCACTTTCAGAGGCAAGAAATTTAACAAAACTGTCTTACCCTGTTTTGGCAAGATTTGACAGTCCCTCTTATCCATTTCTGAATACCATGTGTCTTGTCAGTGGTTGGGGCATTTCTTTGCCCAAAGGCCAGTTTTGCCAAGAAGAAAACAAACTCCAAGTGGAATGACTTTGGTGCTCAACATTTAGACATAAAAGAACTCTAAATGAGTCACAGTGTTGGATAAATGTGCATAGGCTTGGGACAGAGAGGAAAGAGTATAGACAGTTGTAAAAAGAAGTAAATGGTTAAAAAAGGAAAAGTCTTTAAAGACACAGAGTACAGAAAGAAAAATAAGCCACATAAAGATGAAAAATTTGAAGAACCTGGATTATGTGTAGTATTGTGTTTTCTCTGAATTTTTTGATTGTGAATGATCCCATTGTATGGGCTTCTAAGTTAAATAAACCAAGCTAAAGTGTCGTGATTCCAAAATTTGAGTCTAAGGACATGTTGCTTTGGAAAAGAGGCTTTTCTTTTGTTTTCACAGAAAATGAGAACTTGTGGGTTGCTTCCAGACCAATATGGTATCATGAAACAAGACCCCCTGAAAAGTTGCTGAGAACACCCCTCAAAAATTTGTTTGCCCAACCGCTGACTGAGATGAACCTAGCACACAGGATACACTATGAAAGGCCTGATTAACAGTGCCCCCAAACAACAGGAAGCAGTATGGACAGAACTATGCCCATATTCCCAAATATTGTTTATAAATTTTCTCTTACATTTAAAAGGAGATATGTTATAGATATGAGTAATTTGCATTGATATGGATCTTGGTTTATTGATACAAATTTAAGGTCAATTTTGTTATATGTATATTTCTGCTCTTGATTAAGGTATTGTGATTATATAGTTCATTTAAAAATGCAATGCATAATTAAGAAATATAGATCAATAGATAACCATCTATCATAGTCAAGTTTGTAGTTATGCTATTTCGATTATCTAGATGTACAGAGAAATATTTCAGATGGAGAGGGATTCTTCAGATCTTTCAGAGACCTTCAGAATATGACATTTAAAATGTTTAAGAACTTAAGACTTTTAAGGACAATAAGACATATCTGCTCCTGGCAGCACCAAGCTACTTCAAAAGGATGATGGACATTGAAGAGGCTCCTTATGGAGTTGGTTAGCCATTTGGGCAAGAAACTGCTCTTGCCTGAACTGTTGAACTGGACATGCAGTACCCATCAAGAAATGACTTCTGAACTGGCCTAAAGGTGAAATGATCCTTTGGGGTTCTTGCTTCCTGAAAGAATCTGTGAGACATTCTGCAGGATACAGAAGAAAGTGACTGGCAAATTGCCAGTATAGGCAGACCTGTCTGAAATTTTCTGCTTCACGGAAAAGTCTGCTGGATACTATGGGCCTGTAGGCTGACGATGGATGATCCAGCAGTACAGAACTTTGGATGACTGTCCAGGCAGCAAGATGTCTCTGTCATTTCTAGGGTTCCGGAAGTTGTTTACAGTGTAATTCCTGTTTACTTAGGTAAATTATTTTCTTCTGGAGTCTTTGATGGAGTTGAAGAATTTATAGTTATAGTTTTCCTTAGTTATGATAAAGATAAAGTATATATAGATATTGTAACTGTAATTCTTGCTTGATAACTGTTTTGTTATATGTAATTTTACTATGTTAAAGCCTTCCTTTTAATTTAAATAGAAAAGGGAAAATGGTGTGGGAGGTTCTTCTGTCCATGTGAAGCTTTCATTGGATAATGAATAAAGAAACAACCCTGGCCTGTTGATAGGGTAGATCTTAGGTAGGTGAGGAATATGGAACTGAATGTAAGGAGGAAGAAAGCAGAGTTTGAAAGACACCATGGATCAACCAGAGACAGATGCTGGGAATTTTACCTAGTAAGCTACTGTCACATGGTGATACATAGATTAATAGAAATGGGTTAAATTAATATAAGAGTTAGGCAATAAGAAACTAGAGCTAATGGACCAAGCAGTAATTTAATTAATAAAGTTTCTGTGTGGTTATTTCCAGGCTAAGCTATCCGGTAGCCAGGACAAAGAAGTGGGCCCTCCTGAAACTCTTGGCATTCTTTGCAACACACAACTGCCCAACTTTGTTTTCTATTAAAAGCAGTAGTTGTCTTTATCTGTGACAATTTTCTTGCTATGTTTTGATTCTGAATTTCTAAAACACTATGTCTTTACCCCTCCTTTATGATCTGAGGAGACCAAGAGTTGTGAAGATAATTGTGAATGTGCAAAATCTATTTATTTCTTGCTTATAACCCCTGTCACTCACTCAATGAATTCCCTGCAATTCTATTGTATTTACTGATTAGTAAATTGAAGATATCATTGATGTCCATATCATACTGGATTTATATAATTGTCTTTCTTGTATGAAATGAAAAACAACAATAAAGTAGAGGAAGATGGATTTGCCTTCTAGTGTCTCTGTTCAATATGGAAAGATAAGGAGATGCCACCCACCACAAAATTCACATTAAATTGAATATTTGGTCTGAGTTTGCTGCAGGAAGACTTACAGCTAGTGGTTACCCACCCACTAGAGCTTTTCCCATGGTTTTTATGTAATCTACAGACAGAATTCCATCTTCAGCCATTGCAAGTTTCAAGTGTATGGAACTAGGTCTCTGGGCAGATGAGAGAGCTCAACATGTTGAGTATTTGCCTAGCATTTAGATTCAAACCGATGCAAGGCATTCTCAGAAAGTCTAATAAAATGACAAATGAAAAAGTAAATAACAACTTTGTTCTTTTCTAGGGTTGACTTGGCAAGTTTCACTTAGGGCTGGAGCCATTCTCTCCAAGGAGTGAGGGTTGCAGTTTCTGGGGATCCAACTTTCACTGGGGCTGTGGATATTAGTCCCAAGGCAGCCGTGCCTGAGGTTTCCTGGGTTCTCTGCAAATATTGTCTGATTTAGTGCACTGCTGACCTTGACTATTTTGCCCTATGAATAACATGTAAGAAATAATAATGACCTAAAAATGTGTTTGTCATAAATCATCAGCTTAGGCAAGACCTCTTGTTCCAGCTATCTGTCTTCTTTACTTCTCATTTTGGTCTTCCCCTCTGATACCTCTCAATTTGGAACCCTATTATTGTGGTTTCAGGTCAAATGGTGATGGGGAAGCTCAGCCAATCACATTCTATTTTGGGGGTGTGTCCCCCTAAGGCCAAGAAATACAGATAAATCTTGTGGGTGCACTCCCTGCTTCAACTTTGGTTTACTGCGCTCCTGGCTTTTGCGGGATCTTTGGTTGTGTAAGTTTTCCCTCAATTATTAAAATCTTTTTAATTGAGCTGGTCTGGTTATTTATCAATGGACCATGCCCATCAAAATGGTTCCCAATTTGATGTTGAGTATTGAAGAAATCATCAAGAATGAGTAACATAATACTCCACCAATCTTACAAATCTATGGAATGGATTTTTCTGCCTACTAAGCCTGGCTATGCCATGAATCCTTATGTTGGCTACTTGCTTGGGTTATCCAGTTGGGGATTTACAAACCTGTCAATTTATTTATGAGACCATGATAATAGTGTATTTCTCTACCTCTTCAAAGCCTATCTTTCTGCAACCTTGGTGGAACTCCGAAACACAGCTTCCTACAGCTTTCTACAGAGAGGACCAAAAGGTGAGTGACAAGTCACATGGTGGGACACCTCACTCTCTAGGCTCTCCATAGTGGGCTAAACCCCCAGGACCCTTCTTCTCCTGCTTTAGCTTATCTAGCTATCCAGAAGGAGAGTTTTCTGCTGAGAGGAAGAAGAGAGAGGACCAAGAGAGGAACTCTAAAGCACAAGCTGTAAATGAACAGAGTGGTCCGAGAAAGTGAATGAGGAGAGAAGACCAAGAGCAGGATAAGAGATACCTAAGTGGCTCCCTGAGACACAGACATTGACAGTACAGAACAGAGCAAGAACAATTGGCAAAGACTCAGACAGCAACTTCAAGGATTGTG